CTCACAGCGTGTCGATTTACAGTCATATCTCACGTCTACTTGTGTGATATTGCTTATATCTTGTTGACGGGATCATGAGCGCTGAACAGGCTGCTGACGTCCTGGAGCTCACAACTCCGAAAACGTCCAAGCTAATTTTCAAATAGACGTTATCCTCATTAACAAACCTCATATTTGAAGTACAAACAAGTAGATTCTCGCCTAAAATGCTCTTAAAACTACACAAAAACAGTATTATTGAACCACTGCTGTCACATGGACTATTTTAATGATGTCCTTACTACCTTTTTGGGCCTTGGACGTGGTAGCTCCGTTGCTGTCTATGCAGGGTCAGAAAGCTCTCCCGATTTTTTTCAAAATGTAAATTTTTGTGTGAAGTCAGCATATAAATAGGGGAAGTGAGCATGCACAATTAAATATCCAAAATCAACTGATAATAAATTAAACAAACATCTATAGGCTTCCTATATATCATGCATCCATTAATTTGTGTCTGTGATTCTCAGAATGAGGATGATCCCGGTGAAGGGTGCAGCAGTCAGGCAGAGAGGCAGAAAGACCCCAGAACTGAGCGCAGTCTTGAAGAGTGTCGCAAGCTTATTCTGCAGTGGGCCAGTGAACTTCAAAGTGCAGACAAGGTGAAACTGACTGTACTACAAAAAAAGACAAACATCTCAATCATACTGTTCTGTTCATCATATACGATGGCTTGCTCAAACTAAGCTTTCTTTGTTCCTGTGTGACCCCAGCTCTCTAAAAAGCATCCATGGATGAAGGAGAGGATTGATGAAGAGGAGGAAGAGGACACAAAGAAGGATAAAGATCAGGGTGAGGTGGTGCAGAAGATCACAAAGTGGGCCAAAGAGATACAGAGTGTGTCAGAGGTGGGGCAGCAAGCATATCTGTATTATCTAAAACACAGGTCTCTTATCCGTTGTCACAAACACATTAAGTTGTTCTAAGTCCAGTCATGGTTTTCTGCTTTCTTGGAAATAGTTTGTCTTTCAAAGTCTCCACTTGTAAAAGAGCACTTTAATATACAGTACATGTACATTTAACTAGCCTATAGATAAGATAATCAGAAGTGATGAAAAGTTCTTTCTGTCGAAATGCAGAGCTTTGGAATGCTGGGAGATGAACTGGCACGGCTATTGCGTCTCCTGGGACTGAAGAAGAAGAAGCTGGTTTCCCTCATGCCACTGCTGGAGTTCATCACTTGGAGTTTGCTGAAAGAAGACAGCAAGGTGGGATGGCTAGGAATGTACTTCTTTCACCGTTTGTGTTTGGGACATGGTGTAGTGTAAATGTTTTGGAAAGTGGTGCCATTTAATGAGGAAATGGCAATTATATAAAACTAAATAAAGAAAATTAATATTAAAATAAATTTTTTAAAAAAATCACACATAGAATTACTATAGGCAACAGCAATAATCAAAAGATGAACATTTATTATTAAGCAAGAACACCCATGGACAAAATACAAGACAAATTTATTTGGGTGAATACAGCATAGTTTACAATATTACATACATTTAAACTCGTTCAACAAGCATTTTAGAAATAAAAAAGGCACATTTAAAAGTAGCATTTTAATTTAAGTGTATTCAACCGTTCTCTGTGATCGCTTTTTACCAAAATAGTGCTAATTCTTGTGCCGGTGGATCGCCGAAATCTGAGCTGGTGAAGGGCTGCTGTTCACGGGGGAACTGCGAAATTTAGACCGCGGCCTCGCGTTTCACTCGTAGCTGAAAGATGCCGTGACTGACTACAAAACCTGCCCAAAAACAAACAGTACTGAAATTAGAGAACATATTTTAACATCAAATTAAATTACACTCAGTATTATAATGAATAAAATCCATTTATGTTATGCAAGGCAAAGGAGTTTCCAGCAATAAACAGTAGTTCCATGCCTCTGATACTATATATATATATATATATATCTATATATATGTATATATATATATATATATACATATATATAGATATATATATGTATATATATATATATATATATATATATATATATAGATATATATAGTGCTGACAAATTTATGGGTGGAAAAAAATGAATTCCTTGTCGTTAAAGGGGTCATATGATGTTGCTAAAAAGAACATTATTTGGTTTAATGAAATGTGTTTATGTGGTTTAAGGTTAAAAAAACACATTATTTTCCACATACTGTACATTATTGTTTCTCCTCTATGCCCCGCCTTTCTGAAACGCATGGATTTTTACAAAGCTCATCAGTCTGAAAAGCAAGGTGTGCTCTGATTGACCAGCTATCCAGTGCGTTGTGATTGGCCGAAAACCTCAAGAGTGTGACGGAAATGTTACGCCCCCTACCATACTGTGATGCCCTGTCCGGCCAGAGCATAGGGCTGGGCGATACCTCTTATTTTATTTTCGATCCGATACTGATATTTTCAAGCCCAGTATCGTCGATATCGATACCTATAAACTAAATTGATCTTTTAAATTATTAAAAGAATATATAATCAGTAATTATACTCACTTAATATTAGATTTTAAAGCCACATTTTTTAAACATTTCATAGGCTTTAGCTTTTTTTTCTGACAGATTTATTAACAGCAATTACAGAACATAACACAATCCATTTGAACTTTTAACAATCAGTTTAAATAAATCTACTTGCACAAACTAGCCAATTTAAAATAAATATTACATGTACACAGAAGTTTGGGGTCAGTAAGATTTTGTAATTTTTTTAAAGTCTCATGCTCCTGAAGACTGCACTTATTTGAACAAAACAACAGCATGTTATCCGTGTGGTAAAAGTTTGGTGACAGGTCCAACTTCAAACAACAAAGTCTGTAAATACATAAAAGTGATACAGGGTGTCTCATAAGATCCCTTTATTAAAATTTCTTGCTGCTAATTCATGTTTTTAATATTAATTTTAGGGTATGGTTCCTCATCTATGGCTTTCAGCTAAGCAACGCACCTGGAAAGCTGGTAAGGGAACCGAAACCTAACCTAACCTTAAATGAATAAAGCTGAAAATATGAATAAAGCTGAAAAGTACACTAATGAATATTAGTAACTTTCTTCTTGGTTCTTTTTTGTTTTCAAACAGGCATGCCACGATACATCCCTAATTCAGGTAACTATAACTTTTATTAGACCCCATGGAGCACATTTGAGATATTAAAAACAGTAGCATTTCTATGACTTTCCAAAAGAGGAAAAAAAATAGAGAGAGAGATTGATTAGGGTCAAAAGAAAGAAAGATTTCAAATTTGAGTTAAATATTTGTCTGAAATTTAATGAATAAAACAAAGTATATTGTTATAAGTGTGCATTTAAAAAAATAAAAAAACTCAAATTTAAAGTTCGAAAAAAAATGAAAGACTAAATATTTTTCTCTTTTTTTTTCAGTCTGGAACTGGATTGTCAGTGCAGGAGGTAAGTTTATATCTTTTAAATTTGACCTTCCCCCCCAAAAACCCTTCACTCCAGCATTAACAAAAAAGTGTTAAATGCATCAGCCCTAATGCCCTCATGTCCTTCTTTCAAATAGCTGATGTAACTCTTGATCCCATGACCAACCAAGCTTGGCTGCAGCTCTCTGATGACCACAAGAAAGTTCAGGAGGGCCTAACAGAGGCCAATCTGCCTTACAGCCCTCAGCGTTTTGACAGCTTGCCCTGCGTCCTAGGCTGGGAGGGCTACATGAGTGGCCGCCATTACTGGGAAGTGGAATTTGCAAACAATGGTTATTGGAAAGTTGGAGTGACAACTGCTTCCTCAAAGAGGCATGGCCGCTTTCCAATGAATCCTTCTACTGGTTATTGGGTCCTGTGGCGCAGCACACGTCAATTTTTCGCATGCTCCAATCCCGAAACAGCACTGCCACTGCTGCTGGTGCCCCAAAGGATGGGAATATACACTGATTACGAGGAGGGGCAGATTTCCTTCTACAATGCAGAGAACAAATCACACATCTACACCTTTACAGGACACTTTCGTGAGAAGCTGTACCCTTTCTTTGCCCTGCTTGATGGCAGGGGAGTTATAACTGTATGGTCTCCTAAAGAGCATAGCCGCTTTTAACAAGAGAGCAGGTTTAAAAGATCATCTTTCATTCTTTGCCATATAAAGCCAAATAAAAATAGCGACCTTTCCATTTAGATCAATCAACACTGTTGTGGGCTGGACCTGCTCAATGAGAGCTATAAAAACTACAAAGTAAAGATTTAAATTATTTCCTCAAAATGATTGCTACACTTGTGTATCTCTTTATTCATTTATATAATGATTATAAAAATGTATCTATGCTTGTCTACTTTCATGTATGCAAGTAACAGTATGTGTTTTGACACAAATATTTAATGTGTGTAGTCTTTGTTCATCCTGCAACCATCAATAAGATAACTACACAATATTTATTGTATCACTGTTTATGTGTGAATAATGTCTATTCAAATGTTATTCGTTCTATTATTATAGTAGCTCTGGCTGATTATACATATGTAGTCTATTAATAAAACATAAAATACAGGTCACCATATGTCTTCTTATTGCACTGCATGTTGTACTGAGAACACACCTATAATTTAAGTCCAATTGGATTTTTTTGACAGTTCAGCTTATTATAAAAAACGTCATTCATTAAGTCATTCTTAAAATATTTTTTATGTGCACTTGTGCTCAGACTGAACAGCAATGGGGTTAGAAAAGGACCTTAAGCAAGGAGGTGGGCATCCTTTCTTTCTTTCTTTCTTTCTACATCTGTCCATAGAAGGCAGCTGGACAGAGTGAAAATCCTGTAAGGGACCTGTTGATAAAACATAGCCTCATCCTTTGCGTTATATATCACTGGCAAAGACTCATGAGCCTTTGAAAAGCAATGCAAAGCATACTGTAAAATGAACGCTTCATGTTTTCTTCAAAAAGAATCCCCCAAATTACTGAGAAAATGCTTGTTTTATTTTGTTTAAAAAAATCTACACTCTCCCTACGAGCACGAGACCTGACCTATAGGATTGGGCAAACAGACTGTCAACACAGTGGTATAACCAATCAAATCCTCTCTTTTAGCCGGGAGGGCGGGACATTTAGTGGAACGTGAAACTTATTGCCGCTGCTCACTAAAACGGTATATGTTCTCCATTGTTTTTGTACACAATTTATATGATCCGTCTTTGCGAGTATGTTAATTGCATATTTGCTGTTATAATTCTTCTTTTAGACGCTAATAAAACCGATCGTGTCCAAAATGGAGCACAGGGAACGGAAAGAAACAACACCGATGTTCATGACAAGGTTTGTTGTTGTGACATTATTCATTTTCGTTTGTTACACTGGGTGGTGCTGATGGTGCACAACAAATACATAATGCCAACAACCACTACAATTAGCCTATTGTTACTAGGCCTACTGTAAATCCATAGTAAATTAATATGAAATCTCAGTTAAACCGTCTTAGAAGCCTTCACAATCTTTTCAAAATCCAAATCCATTTTTATTACATTTGTGACTAATACTAAGTTACCACAATTCTATTGTAGTAACAACTTATATGGTGTTCTGATGGAACCTATGATTGCCATGATACATTTTCCCAAGTTCAAGATACAAGCTCACAAGTTCAAGCTTATCTTATTTTTTTAAATAATACAAATTAAATAAGATTAAATAAAATGTCATGACAGTGATGCCACTGCTGTAGCAAGACTGTTTACCACGTTGAGTTTGTTCCTTTGCTTGGTTTAGACTTGGGTCACAGCTGAGAAAGCCACTTCACACAAGTAAGTAGATCCACGGGATAAAAAGCAAACTGTGTCATTGTTTCGTCTGCATGGTTCATCCTTATCTCACTGACAGAAATGCTGCTGCTGCTCTCACACTTATTCACATCATCACCATCTTCACGTTTGCCTTCAGCTCCCTGAAGTGTGACCTTCCTCTAAAGCAGGGGGTGTCAAACTCATTTTAGGTTGATGGTTGGATCAGATAAAATGTCCCCTTGTGTGGGCCGAATTGTTAAACATTAGTTTGCTCACAATAGCATTAATATTAACCCTACAAACTACAATATAATTTACAGGAAAACTAGGAAAACTGACCCCCCCATAATTATATTATATTATGGACTCTCAAGATGTTATTGTTTGTTTTTTGCTAAGTGAGTAATATGTCATCTCGCACATCATTAAAACAACAATTATGATATTACTTGAGAAAACTTTTTCCATTCCACGCTTCAGTGCATCTCATATTGTCGTTTAATATTGCACACTTTTACAACACGAAGCCAGCAGAAAAAACAATCCGCACACGGTCAAATGCTTTTACAACACAAAATGGGTTGCGATTAAACATGCTGGTTGGCGTTGACCTCACAGAACAAATACCTTTCTTTCCATTTCTTCTGAAGTACAGTATCCACCTTTCCAGGTTAACTTTCTTCTTTTGGACATGTTTAAAATCACAAGTAGCCTAACTTGCCACACAAGCATCAGTTACAATGCAGCTAACATCACTTATGTTCCGCTTTAAATTAAAAATAAAATATTGTAGCGAATAAACTATGTAAATTTCAATATAATGTTTTATTTATTTTATATTATCGTTCAAATCATAACGTGGGCGGGATTGTTTGGCCGTATTCGGGCTGTGTGTTTGACACCCCTGCTTTTGAGATTCCAGATGCACCCATTTAGTCCTGTTCAGCTTGTTCACAATTTCTATTCCTAAAATGTTGTCAATTATTTGTCTATCAACTGTCACTATCACTATCACAAAAATGCATTCATCCTGCTCTTGACATTTTATTCACCACCTGGTCAACATGCACATGTTATTGTCATTAATCCAGTGGCAGATTGTAATGTTTAACTAGATAAAAAAGTTAATCAAGACAAACTTTAAGTTGGACCAGAAAGTTTGAAAAAGATTGAAAAGATTGAAAAGTTTAAGAAGTTTATAAAAAGTTTTAAGTTTGATGGTTTTCAGTCTGAAATAGTTTGTTTAAATAGTAGTTGAAGTTTAAAGTAGTTTTAAAAGTTTAAAGTTTGAATGTTTTGAAGGCAATACAGTCTGTCAGAGATGGATGGATGGATGGATGGATGATAGATAGATAGATAGATTGTCAGATGATAGATAGATAGATAGATAGATAGATTGTCAGATAGATAGATAGATAGATAGATTGTCAGATAGATAGATAGATTGTCAGATGATAGATAGATAGATAGATAGATAGATAGATAGATAGATAGATAGATAGATAGATAGATAGATAGATTGTCAGATAGATAGATAGATAGATTGTCAGATAGATAGATTGTCAGATGATAGATAGATAGATAGATAGATTGTCAGATGATAGATAGATAGATAGATAGATTGTCAGATAGATAGATAGATAGATAGATAGGTAGATTGTCAGATAGATAGATAGATAGATAGATTGTCAGATAGATGGATAGATTGTCAGATGATAGATAGATAGATTGTCAGATGATAGATAAAGAGATATATAGATTGTCAGATGATTGATAGATAGATAGATAGATTGTCAGATGATAGATAGATAGATAGATAGGTAGATTGTCAGATGATAGATAGATAGATAGGTAGATTGGCAGATAGATAGATAGATAGATAGATTGTCAGATAGATAGATAGATTGTCAGATGATAGATAGATAGATTGTCAGATGATAGATAGATAGATAGATAGATAGATTGTCAGATGATAGATAGATAGATAGATAGATAGATAGATAGATTGAGAAATATTAGATAGATGAGTTTGAATGGGTTAGAAATAATACATAGAAGGCACGTCTGATTGAGTCTAATGGGCTTCAGTGTGTTTAGATTAGAATTTTGACAGTTGGAGTTTGACGGAAAGGTAGAGTTGATAATTGTAGTCTCAGAAGAAGAAGAAGAAGAAGAAGTTTAAATAGCATTTCAGTAAGTTGGCTTTCTCAAGCCAACTTAATTATAGAACTGAACTGATTGCATTGGTTGATATCTTGTCAAACATATATTTCACCAACACTACAGCAGGTTGGGAAACTGGTGAGCACTGGAATCAGATCTTGAATCAAATCTGACTTTTCCTTGGAAAATTATTTCTGGTATATATATGGATCTATCTATCTATCTATCTATCTATCTATCTATCTATCTATCTATCTATCTATCTATCTATCTATCTATCTATCTATCTATCTATCTATCTATCTATCTATCTAGCTATCTATCAAAAGAAAAGAAAAGGGACTTTTGGGACCTTTATTTTGAAATCTGGATGTCGCGGTTGTATTCTGTTTCTCACTGCTCACGTGTGACAACGTTCAGATGATTCAAGTTTGCGCTGAATCAACAACACCAATGGACTTTAGACTGCGCGTGAAATAACGCCGAAATACTCTTAACACTACTGTGCCTGTAACAGCTAAAATGGGAATATTATACAAAGACCTGAATGCGATTTCGAGATATATGTTGTGCAAATCTAGACAGTTTTCAGTCAAGTCAACTTGATTATAAAGAGCATGTCAATGTAAAGAGCTGACCTTCAATGAACTGAGTCGGGTCGTTGTTTCTTTTTCGCAAGCTGCTTAATCACTAATAATGTCTCTTGTGAAGTCTGACGAAAACACTCCGCTTCTCAGAGGCGATATTACAAGGTAAGTTTTGATAATTGCATTTGCAATGACGAAGTCTGGCAGGGCTGAAGTTGTTTTCTGTTCTGAAATGATGTCTGAATTGAAAATATTTAGCTCGAGCAATCTAACAATGTTGCCTGTGGGTTATGTCACAAGGGCATTTCTGTCACTAATGCACAACATGATGATTAGTTCAAAATAGATTAAGTCATGCCAGTGTGAAAGTTTAGGTGTGAAGATATGAATGTTAGATCATTCATGAGCTCCTGTCATAATAGACGATGCATAATGCATGCAACCATTGTAATTAAATAGGCTTAAGTGTATACCTATTAAGTGTAAACAAGCAAGAGCTATGATTGTTATTTATATATCCATGAATGTCTTTTCCTCTGTAAGTGGTGGGGATGCAGACAGAAGCCGCTGGAGGTCCATCAGGGTCATGTACTTCACCATGTTCCTTAGCAGCGTTGGTAAGAAACATGTTCTTACTCTCTCACACCCATGTTCCTGCTTTGACTGTGTTACTGATCAGATTACAGTAAACACTGCTGTGCAGATATATTGTGCTGTCTGGTTCAGTGAACAAGCATGCATCCAACATGCATTCAATTCAAAGCTGAAAACCTGCTGTAACCTGCAAGATGTTTGTGCAATATCAGGACACGCTGTGTTTAATTGTACACTGTGCAGTGTAATTCAACATTTTATGCCTTTAAACCTCATAAACAAGAGGGAATCTCTCTGTACAGCTGTTGCAATTACAATAGGTAGATAAATTAATGTTAGTTGCATTGTTTGTATAGTATAAAGTGCATGCGTGTAATATGTATCACCGATTGCATTGTTTTTTTTTCTTAGGTTTTACGATTGTCATTACTTCCATATGGCCCTATCTGAAGAAAGTAAGTGTATTTGCATTTACACACAATATATTACATAATACTTAGGCTATACATTTTGTAAGTTGATGCATTTCTTTGGAATCAAACTCGGGACCTTGGTGTTTCACAGCATCACGTTCTACTGCTTGATTTACAGAAACTAAGTGTATTCTATGCAGCTGAGGTTTGAGTGAAGTGAATGTTCATTAATATGGCAGTTCTATAAATTCTGTGCAGAGTATGATTCCCTGAGATAAGCTTAATGTACAAACTGGAAGTGAAAGAGGGAAGTTGGTATATGTGCGTTTCATTTCTAAGAAAGTGTACCAAAGATTCCTAAATGCATCAGCTGAAACCTGTTAATGAATATATATATATATTTTATATATTATTTATATATATATACAGGTGCATCTAAAAAATTTAGAATATAATTTTTTTGGTAACGTATTTCAAAAAGTGAAACTTTCATATATTCTAGATTCCTAAAACATTTCAAAAGTTTTTTTATTTTTTTTATTTTGATGATTAGAGCTTACAGCTCATGAAAATCAAAAATACAGTATCTCAAAATATTAGAATGTTTCCTAAGATACTAATTTATATATAAATAAGACCTGAGATTATTCAGGGCACTACACGTACATTTTTAGTACATTCCAAATGTTATTTTGTTTTATTTAAATTTATTTAAAAAAATAGTTTATTAAAAAATATTTTTTTTCGCGATTGCTCGGTTGACTGAAGCCAGTTGCACAGTAATTTTTCAAGCCTTGTTAGTCTGTGACTGTCTTGTAAATCCATCAGTCATGCTCTATATTTCTTTTTTAGATTGATGAAAGTGCAGATGCCAGTTTCTTGGGATGGGTGGTTGCTGCATATAGTTTGGGTCAGATGGTGGCCTCACCCCTCTTTGGACTGTGGTCCAATCACAGGCCTCGACGAGAGCCTCTAATCTGCTCTATATTCATCAATGTCTCTGCTAACATTTACTACGCCTATGTCTACCTACCTCCGTCACACAAAACAATTCACATGCTTTTGGCTCGTACATTTGTGGGCATTGGAGCAGGTAAACTTATGTACACATATCTCACACATACATTATTTTAGAGAAATAAATTAATACTTTCCTTCAGCAAGGATGCATTAAATTGATCAAAAGTGACATTTTATAATGTTACAAAAATCAATTTTAAATAATTGCTGTTCTTTTGACCTTTATATTCATTAAAGAATCCTG